AAGGGGAGGACCAGGAGAGGGGGCTCCATTTACACAGTCATAGGGGAATCTTCACCCATGCTGGTATAGACCTTCCAATATGGTTGCTTTAAGGTCACCTATGGTCCTGTCCATAACCTCTCACCCACTGCTGTGTAAATAATGAACTCATTGCTTCCGCAGAGTGAACTTTGGTGGAATTTACCTCTGTTTATCACTAAAAACCCTAGAAGAAGGGCTAGAGACTGCTTATGTCTCCCTCAGGGAAGAATTTTGGCAACAGTAGTTCTTTCTCCTTTGCTTTTGGTCCATTAGTTTTAAACTTGAGTCTAGATCCTAGAGCTTCAGGATCCTTTGTATTACATTTTTACTCATCTATTTGTTTTGTTATGTGTGTGCATACCCACGAGTGCCCAGCCGGTGTGTCCAGGTTGTGTTGAACATGTGGAGTCAGAGGACAACTGCAGCAGTTAATTCTCTCCTTCTACCATGTAGGTTCTGGGGATCAATCTCAGGACATCAGGTGGGGTGGTGAGTCGTTTTACCCATGAGATGGGTGATTAACCTGTGATGGTCAATGCTGTCAACTTTACAGGACAGAGAATCACTAGAAGACAAACCTCTGGGCATGCTGTGAAGATTGTGCTGATTGGGTTAACTGAGATGGGAAGACTCACTATAAAAGTTGGCAGTACCATTCCCTGGGCTTGGATTCTAGACCTCAAACAAAGGAAAAAGCTAGCTGAGCAGGAACATTCATCGGCTGTTTGCTTTCTAGCTGTGGATGCAATGTGACCAACTCCTTCGAGTTCCTATTGTCATGACTTCCTCATCATGGTGGCTGTGCCATCATACTTCAAGCTAAAATAATCCTTTTCTCTTCCAAGTTGCTTTATTCAGGGCATTTTAACACCAGAAAAGTAATTCTAATAGGTTTGTTTCTCAGCACCACAAAAAAGAAGAAAAAAGACTCCTTATTTGTGTTTGCAGTCAATCTTGTTCCAGTATCCTGCCTCCTGTCACAGGCAGACTCCATGTATTTTCTGTTCCATAGATTTGCCTTCACTGGACTTTTTTTTTTGTTTGTTTTTTTGAGACAGGGTTTCTCTGTGTAGCTTTGGAGCCTATTCTGGCTCTCGCTCTGGGGCCCGGGGTGGCCTCGAATTCACAGAGATCTGCCTGCCTCTGCCTCCCGAGTGCTGGGGTTAAAGACGTGTGCCACCAACGCCCGGCTGGACATTTTATTTTTTTAAAAAAGAATCACACAGTATGTTATCTTCTGTTCTAGAGTCTTTCATTTTAGCATACCCTCCCCCCAGCCCAGGCTAACCTAGAACTCCCTATGTAAGTCAAGATGGCTTGAAACTCCTGAGAGTTAGGACTGTAAGGTATGTGCCACCAACTGGTTGCATGTTGTTTTCAGTCTTGTTCATAAGCTACCACATTCAAGGCATCCTACAGTGTGGATACACTTTCATAGTTTTTCTAACCATGTCCCTAGTTATGAATGTTTTGGTTGTTTCCAAGCTGGGACAAACCCTCTTCATGGGAGCTATGTGATCATGACTGTTGGACAGACTTCTAAAAGTCTGAATCCTGAATTAGAGAGGGTATGCATTAAAATAGAAATAATCAGTTATTGTCCAGCTCTGGAAATTTACAGCGGCTATCCCAGCGCTCAAGAGGCTGAGGTAGCAAATCAGAAGTTTAAGATTGGCCTGGTTTACACAATGAGACCAGAGGCTGTCTTGATGAGGAGGCCTATCTTGCAGGGACTGCTAATGTATGTGGAGAGGCATCGTCAACCCAGAGGGAGACTGACCAGGGTCAGGACAGAAGATGTCTACAGTAGTAGAAACCTACAATACTATTAGAATAGTAGGTAGAGGAACCTAATTCAGAAGCCAGAAAAGCCGGCTCAGAGCAGACAGATCTAAGCAGAGAAGGACGGGCCCTTAGACAGCTGAGACTGGAGTGTGGCAAGATAGAGAAGAATTAACAACTCAAAGGCAGCTCTGGATCTGCCCTTTTCCTGGTGGTGTTCTGACTGGTAAAGAATTTGTGCCAAGACTGTTCACACGGGGTGGGGATGGATGAACAGCAGTCATGTCAATCCGATTCAATCTCGGCTTCTTCTGTGCTGGGGTTTGTAGCCTCCTATTTTCTGTGCACAATGGCATTCCCAGTCTTGTTGGAGGAGCAGAGAGCAGAGACCTGGAGCAAAGGTGAGCCTTCACTTGGCCTCCTCTCTCTGACAGTCATCTTGAGGAGTCATCTGGCCAGACACTGTGTTCAGACAGAACCGCACCAGTCCCCTCTGGCAACTCTACGTGTTCTTCAGCATTTCCAGCCTGCTGAATCAGAGGCAAAGCTGAGTCACACTTGTTCCCCATTCTGTGTTCAGCGCAGGGCCTGGCACTGGAGTAGGACTGTGATGCTGACTTAGTAACTATTGGCTGAACATTTTCATGAATTGTGAGTGAACGCTGTCTACTCTGAAACCTCATTCTGCCCTCCTGCTCAACCTTGCTGAGCTAGAGGGTTCAGTCTCTCTTGCTTTCCGATGCCCTTAGCAGGCTGCTCAGAGCCAGGCCCCTCCCGACAAAGACCCTTCAGAGACAAACGCTGTTTGTTTGGTGTGCTGCTGTGTTCCAACCTCCCTTGCAAATCTGTCAGTCAAGGTATACTGGTGAAAGAATGGTCCAGGGGCTGGGGATACAGCTCAGTTGGTAGTGTGTTTGCCAAGCTTGTACTAAGTCCTGGGTTCAACCCCAACACCATCTAAACCAGGCACAGTGGTGCACAATAATCCTAGCACTTGGGAGGTGGAGGCAGGAGAATCTTTTGATCAAGTTCATCCCCAGTTATATAGGGAGTTTCAGGCCAGCCTGGGCTATGTGAGACTATCAAAAAACCCAACCCATCCCAAGCTCACACTCACCCCTCCCTGAAAAAAAATCAAGAATGATTCAAACTCCTTGTCTCCCCTGACAGGTAACAAGTCACTTCTCCACTCTGAACCAGTGCCTGCTTGTCACACCTTGAATGAGGGTGGGTGTTGGAAAGGGGAGGAGAACTCTGTGAGATCTACTTCTGGTGCTCCTGTGCTCTCCTGTCCTCCCTGTTTCTCCAAGGAGCTAAGCTGATGAACTTCCAGACCTCTGTGTCTTCTAAGCCCGTTCCTGATGCTTTCAAGGGCTGTTCCATCCAGGGACCTACCTAGGAACACTGGAGAAATCCAACACACGTTTCCTCCAGTGATCCATGTTCAGCCAAAGCAGGCTTGGGCTGGGCATGAAGGGGCAGACAGGCAGGGACAGGCAGGGTTCTGTCTTCATCTTCTAACTCAGGGGACAGTGAGATGGACCGTTGCTGCCAAGGCTGATGACCTGAGTTTGATACTCAGTAGCCATATGGTGGAAGGAGAACAGATTCTGACAAGTTGTCCTCTGACCTACACACATGTGCTAACACACACACACACACACACACACACACACACACACACACACGTGCTATCACACAGAGAAAGAGAGGGGGAGAGGGAGAGGAAGAGAGAGGGAGGGAGAGAGGTAGAGAGGGAGGGAGAGGGAGAGGGAGGGGAAGGGAGGAAGAGAGGGAGGGAGAGGGGAAGAGACAAAGAGAGAGGGAGGGAGAAAGGAGAGAGAGAGGGAGAGAGAAGAGAGAGAGGGAGAGAGAAGAGAGAGAGGGAGAGAGAGAAGAGAGAGGGGAAGAGAAAGACAGATAATGTAAAAAAATAAGTTAAAACAACACAAATTCTCAGACCTTCTGCTCAACGTTGTCCAGCCTGAAAAAAAGTACTGAAATAAATACCCAACTACAAGTGATTTATATAGTTTTAAAAAGACATTTAATGGTCACACTTTACAAGAAATTACAAGGTAGTTCTGCATTGGTTCAGTGGTTAAAGTATCTTTTTTAGACCTTTTTTTGTAAACTGAGGTAAAACATACATAACAAAAGTTGCCATTTTAGCTTTCATTTTTCATTAGTTGAGGTACTAGGGTTTGAGCCTGAGTTCTCAGAAATGTTAAGTAAACAATGTCTAGCCCTTATTTTATTTTTTTAATGCAATGGCAATGAACACTTTCACACTACTGCACAGTAGTCAGGGTCTACCTTTGGGACTCTTCCGTTATCCCAAACTAGAGCTGTACCATTAAACATTGATGACTTGCCCTCCATTGTCCAGTCTTTAGTCACCACTACCTGGTTATTCTTGGTACTTCCCAAGTGTGAGCGTACGAGGTTTGTCTTTGGGGCCTTGCCTATTCCACTTGGAATCACGCTTTCAAGGCTCATTCATGTGGCCATGGGTCAGCTTCTTATTCCTTCTCATTGTAGGGTGGTCTCCTGTTATGTGCATACCCCATGTTTAACTTACCTATTCATTTGTTAGCCATTATTTTCATTCTTTTGACCTTTGACTCTTATGAATAATGCTGCTGTTAACATCAGCCTACAAATGTCCGAGCCCTTACTTCCAATTCTTCTGGGTATCTACTTAGGGGTGGACTTGCGGGGTTATGTGGTAGTTCTATATTTAATGTTGTAAGGATAATGATATGCTGTGTCTTACTGTGCCTGGGGTATGGGACAGGTCTACCACTAAGGTGAAAACTTTCCCTTTCTCTACGTCCTTATGACACTTGCTATTTTCTGTCCCCTTCCTCTACCTCTTTCTTTTACTGATGAGGATTCTGATGGGTAGGAGGAAGTATCTCACCATAATTTTGATTTATGCTTTTTAGAAAAAAGAGTGTTTGGGGTCCAGTGTTAGGATAGACCAACTTTATCAGTAGGCATACCTATATGGAAGGGAGTGAACAGCCAGGGTAAGGTTTCTAAACTCTGCAGTGGGGGGTCTGGTAAGAATGTGGCCTCTGTCTCCCTGTAACTGCAGCAGGGGCTGCATCAATTCAGATACCACAATCTGTGGACATGAGCCACGCGGAAGGACAAGAATGAACTCTGAGGGGCCATAGTTTAGGTGGACAGTCTTAGAGGGTAGTGGAGGTGTTCCCTGAAGAAGAGCCAACAAAGGAAGGCCTGCCTTGCTTGGCTAAGAACTCCTTGCTGACAAGGCCATAAGTAGCCATGATCTTGAGGAGTCCATAGCGAAACTTCTGGCCAATAAATGCATAGATGATAGGGTTAAGGCAGCTGTGGAGGAAGCCAAGAATCTCAGTAGCTTGCAAGGCCCTGTCAATGTCATTACGGCGCTTGCAGGTCTCCTGGATCTTTTTGGTCCTCATAAGGGTGTCTGAGAACAGGACCAGGTTGTAGGGCAGCCAGCAGAGCAGGAAGACAAGCACAACAGCAAAGATGACCCGCATGGCCCGGTGCTTCTGCCCCATGTGGGCCTTAAAGAGTGTGCGCAGTGTGGACCCATAGCAGAACAGCATGATCAGCAGCGGCAGGAGGAAGCCGATGGTCTGAGGCAGGAAGCGTAATACCATCCTCCACTTGGTTGTGTTATTACCTGCGTCCTCATAGCAGACTAGGGTAAAGGAGTTTGCCTTGACGATATTACGTAGAATTAGGATGGGCAGGGACACCAACACTGACAGTACCCACATGGTTATGCATACAAATTTGACCAAGTGTCTCTTCTGGATCAGTGTGCTTGTGGCATGGACGATGGCCAGGTAGCGGTCCATACTGATGCAGGCCAGTAGCAGGACACTACTGTAGAAGGTAACTTCCTTCACGAATGAGAATATCTTGCACATGGCTGTACCAAAAATCCAGCCGTTTACCTTGGATGCAGCCCAGACAGGCAAGGTCAGGGCAAACAATAGGTCGGCAATGGCTAGGTTCAGCAGGTAGACGTCAGTGACAGAGCAGGTGCTCCGGTTGTATAAAATGACCAGCATCACCAGGGAGTTTCCCAGAAGGCTCAGCAGGGTTACCAGGACATATATTATAACCACAGCATATCTGTTGATTTCTAGGTTCTCTGGGTGGCATGGGGCAGCATCTGGTAGAGTAGGAGGCAGGTCAGAGCTATAATTGTAACTATCAATATCTCCACTGAAGAAATAGTCAATGCTGAAATTATCCACTCTGATTTCTCCCATTTTTGAGGTAAACTTAATCCTGTCAATAGAGGAGAGATGATGGTTACTACAAAGCAAAGTTATCCTGATTCTTGTTTATCCACCCAAGGAACTAGATATAAGGATTTGTTGTATTGGCTTGCATATTACAAGGAAGACATTTTTCCCTTCAAATTTGAAAATGATAGCAGTAAGCATTTGAGACAAAATAGTAGGCATTTTGATGTGTGTGCGGAAGATTAAGACTACAGTTCCTGTCAAGAGATTTTTTTTCTTTGAAGTAGGATTTTGGTTGGCCTCAAATCTGCTGTACAGCCAAGGATGTACAAACACATTATAAATATGTGTGAAAATGTTATAATTAAACTCATTATTATACATAACTAAAATATTCTAATAAGACATTAAAAAATAAAAAGGTTAATTGGAGATCACATGGTCTTACAAAATAAATACAAATATTAAAGCAATAATAATAAGAATAACAAAAAATGGGGCTGGAGAGGCTGCTTAGTGGTTAAGAGCACTGGCTGCTCTTGCAGAGGACTCGGGTTTGGGTTTCAGCATACACCTGGTAGCCGACAACCACCTGTAACTCGAGTTCCAAGGGATCAGATAATCTCTTCTGGCTTCCTTGGGTACCAGGCACACACATGGTACACATGCATACTTGCAGTTGAAACACTTATACACATGAAAAATTTTAAAAAATTAATTTAAAAAATAATAACAAATATGGGTTGAAGGTGGAGCTTAGTGGATAGAATGCTTGCCTTGCATGTACATAGTCCTAGGTTGAATTCCCAGAACTGAATAAACTAAATAAACTGTGTGATGGAACATGCCTATAATCCCAGCACTCAGCATACAGGGGATAGAGGAAGGAATCTCAGGACTTTAACGTTGTCTTCAGCCACAAAGTTCAAGGCTAGCCTAGACCATATGAAACCCAGCCCAAAACAAAGACAACAGTATCAACCAAACAAACAACAAAGATCAATACCAAAACGGTCAGTTTGGGGAAGTGGCTTATTGGGTAAAAGTGCTTGCTCCCCAACTTGACCACCATAGTTTGGCAGGTAGATAGATCTTAGTAAAATGTAGGGCTGTGAGCAGCTCCCACTCCCAGGCAGTAAGGGCAGGCTCAACGTTCCATAAGGAGACCATGAAGGCCAGGATGGAAGGCAGACACTCAGAGGAGAGTACCGTGAAGGATTGGCAATGTGCTGTTTGCATCTTAATGCACTAATCTCTAAAAGGGAAGATGGAAGGCAGACACTCAGAGGAGAGTACCGTGAAGGATTGGCAATGTGGTCATTGGCAAAGGGACAAGGGTTGCTGTTTGCATCTTAATGCACTAATCTCTAAAAGGGATGGGTTAGTGGCTGAAGGGACAAAGGAAAGGATGGAAGATAACAGTTGAGATCTGCTTTGTGCAAGATTACCCTTGGTCATCATAAGTGGTATGATTAGCTTCTGTTTGCTGGGGAGAAGATAAGGCTCAGAGAGGCTCAGTAACCAGCCTGTGACCAGAGGGCCGTCCTGGTGTTGCCCGAATTCAACTCTACAACTCTGCTTACATGTCATTAGTTTATCAATTCCACTTACTGTCTTTAGTTTATCGTTGGAAGATCATACCTCTTGTGTTAGGTATGTTCAATTTAGATTCATCATTCCCCATGAGGGGTGGCCCATGAGGGGTAGCACACATTTTACCTTAGAGCTATGACCCCATATATCTAAGTTCTTGGATTATCTTTCAGTCAATGTGGGCACAGTCCCCTCTTACTGCTTGGGAACTTGGGCATCACCATCTTTTGCCACCCCTTAGGTTGCCAATTAATGAAATAGCTATTGCTGGAATGGTAAACTGAACATCTTCAGTTGAGTGCCCTGTGGTGGCCTCTGGGATGCAGCAGGTGCTCCTGGCTTGAATGACGTGCTAGCTGCTTGAAACTCACATTAGCCCAGAAACTCCATGGATGGGATGAATTAGTGAGGTGTAGGAAAAGCTCAAGCATGTAAGTTTCCAGGTCCCAAACCTTCCAGGGAATCTTTCCAGTGACAGATATACCAGTCATTTTACTGCGACTACAATCCTCATGCTCTTTAGAAATACAGTTCATGAATGCGGCAGGGCTATGGGAGTCCTCAGTGCCTGGTGCATCGCCAGACCCAGCTATAGCCCAGGAAAGAACGGTAGGCAGGCTTGGGAAGACTGCAGGTAGGGGCTGGGCTGCAAGTAGTTCTAAGTAGTTTTTGGAGGGTACAAGAAGGGGGTCAAGAGTTCTTCCTCTATGGTAAGAAGGCCTAATGTTTATGGGTCCAGGGATGGGGGACATACCCAGGGTCAGGCTAGGTGTAGAGGGACAAAGAGAAATTCTAGATAGTGGTACGGGGTATTCCAGACTCATCAAGATGCTAGTTTTTCACCCATGGGACACCTAAGCTAGGCATCTGTGACCCACAAAGAGCAGTGACAGTGAGAATTATCTAGAGGAAGTGACGAGTGGATTAGATTGGTCAAGCAGGGGAGGAACTCCTGAGGGTGTGGGATGTGTTCCATGTTTTGAATATGAATTCCCAGCTGGGCCCTCAGATGGAGTCATATTATGGATTTAGAGGGCTCATATTGGGAAGTGATCCAGTGAGGTTTTCTAGCCTGTCTTTCCAGGTTTCAGTGGGGAGGAAACAGGCCCAGATAAATGAAGGGATTTGCCCAGGACCACTCGTCCCTCATCTTTGCTATGATCTCAGAGTCACGGGCTCCTGCACCTGGGCTCTGACGCTCCCTACTCCAGCTGCCCCAAGTCTACCTTGCCATTCAGCTGTGTTGTTTCTCTTTCTGGTTTAAGTGGGGTAAGTCAACCAGGCAGCAGAGCTGGACACTGAGGTACTGGCACTTGCAGCCACGCCCCTCTCTAGACTAGATGCTGCTTGTTTTCTCTCTCCCCTAAACTCTTCAAAAGCACCCAGACTCTTCCTCCTTGCTGTGTACTGAGCGGCTTCAGCCCACAAGGGTCTCCAGCCCTTCCTCCCTTATCTTTTGCTTTTCTCCCAGCCACAGGTGCTGACCATGGACCCAGTTTTGGGTGTTGCTGTACTTTCTTGGCTCACATACTTGTCAGCTCCATGGCATTGATGACCCACCCTGGGATCCTACACCCTCTCCTTTGAAAACAGCCTTTTGATAAAAGTGAAAATCCCAGCCCAGTATTGACTGTTGTGAAATATTACTTTAACTACGTAAAGGTGTGTTACATTTGTTTATGCTGCATTTGTTTAACTATGTAAAGATGCATTGCTTTGCCTGCCTAAGGCACCTGATTGGTCTAATAAAGAGCTGAATGGTTAGGCAGTAGAGGGCTAAGTGGGCCTGGCAGGCAGAGAGAACAAGTAGGAGGAGGAATCTAGGCTTGAGAGGTAAGAGGGGGAGAGAACCAGGGAGAAAAAGTGGGAGATGCCCAGGGATCCAGTCAGGCAGCTGCCAACCAGACATGGAGTAGGACATACAGAATTTCTATTTCTTTAGAAAGGTAAAAAGCCCCGAGGCAAAATGTAGATGAAGAGAAACAGGTTAAATTAAATTATAAGAGCTAGCTGGACAAGCCTAAAATAAAGCTGAACATTTATAACTCATAATAATTCTCTGTGTCATGATTTGGTGGCCCCAAAGAAACTTGCTACAATTGACACATTTTGAACACTTGACACCAGGGACCTATCTTGTCCCCTTTGCTAGTGATTACAAGTGAAAGGGTTACTAAAGGTAGAGTCATGGACATCCATTATCTGCATGCCCAGGGGACAGTGTGGGAATTCCACCCCCTTTGTTAGCCTGTGTCCCAGAGTCCAAAGCACACACACTGAAGTGGTCTTTGCATCCAGCTTCAGCAAACACTCCTCAGTATTTGTTTGGTTTCTTTCCCCCTCTGGGGAAGAATGAAATGATATTGGGTCAATGGACGATAAAACCTGGTAGTGAAAGGATGGTTACCTATAGGTGAGTGACAGATGTGTGTGATACTCGCACACACACACATACACGCACACACACATACACATGACAGGCACAGACATGCATATATGCACACACAACACAGCACTTGCTTGTACTGTAGCTCTTAGAATTGAGACAGTTTATCTACAGATGACTGTTCTTTCCTATAACATCCTCGGTCATGGTCAGGGAGAGTAGCAAGCCTACCTAGCTTTCAGGTAGTCCTGTGAGTATCTACATGTGCTCTGACCTGGATAACAGCCATCATACTAGTTGTAGTCTGGAGGGCTGACTGGCTTGCAGCCTCACAGGCAAAGGGCTTTTCACCATTTACTTTATCTTTCGGTTCTCATTAGTCTATGCAGTCAGCACTTCTGAATGAGGAAACCAGGTCTCAGGAGGTGAAGCAACTCACCTAGAGTGACACAGCTGAACTGGCCTGTAAATGTTTTTTAAATGGATTTCAAAATCTGCTCTTCAATGTTCTTTTGTCAAATGCCACAAGGAGCAGGATCCCAGCCTCAGTCAGCCTCAGGTTTCTTAGGTCCATAGGTACTGCTTTGTCCCAGACAATCCAATACCATTGGTGTGGGAAAAGAGCCCAGATTGGACATTTCTCAACTGCCCACTTCCTTTTTTTTCTTTCTCCAATGTAGCCTAGGCTGGGCTACCTGAGAGCCTGTATCAAGTTTTATTGATTTTTTTTTTAGTGTGGAAAGTTTATTGGGAGAAGGGAGGGAGGGAGGGAGGGAGGAAGAGAGGGAGGGTGGTGAGGGGGGAGAGACAGAGAGAGAGAGAGAGAGAGAGAGAGAGAGAGAGAGAGAGAGAGAGAATATGACCTGCCTCCTTGGAGAAGCAGCAGAAAGAGCTATGTTTTGTTTTTTAAAAAAGAGTTCTAATCTTGGTCTAACCTGCTCTCAAAGGTCAGGGGAAGAGCATAGTCTCCTGGAAGACACTAGTTGTTCCAAGTGTTCTCTGCCCAGAATTGTAGCTATAGCCCATTTAGTTCTCTAAATGAAAA